CTTGAGGTAGTTTTTGTGCAAAAAAAAAAAAAAAAAAATTCATGCGAATTGGGAGATGGAAACGCACTTGCCAAATAAATTCCTCCATGTGCATCAAAAAAGTCATGTGACTTTGCGTGATGGGACGGGATAACTTGACTAACCAGCGGACTGATCTCGTTGCACAGCAAATCAAATGTGGTTTTGGGCATTCTGTAATGCCTGAGCCAAAGTCTGTCATCACAGTATTTCTGTATAATTGCCTCCCAGAAATGATGATTTTGTTCTCTTTGACTCGTTGGATGGAAACGGTGCTTTATTCACAAATGTTTTATGCAATATTCAAATTTTGTGCACAAGTTAAATTTGCAACTTTCGATGGAAACATAGTTATTGTATTTAAATGTCTGAACACATAAATGGAATGATTTTTCATACAAAGAATGATTTCTGAAAGATCATGTGACACTGAAGACTACTACACTTTACAGTATATTAAAATTGAAAACAGTTGTTTTAAATTGTAATAATATTTCACAATATTACAGTTTTTTATTTATTGACATAGTTGTCAGTAGATCCTGGTTGCTGATTAAATCAACAAAATGTCCAAACATTGCTAAATTAATCATACGTTCATTATATATCACTAGTACAAATTTAAAACAAAACTGATCAACAACACTTACTTCACAAATCTTTGGTAGAGAGCCAGTGTCACATTGTACTTGTTCTCCAGTCGTTTCAAAGCAGTGTTCACTTTAGGGCTTATTGTGTCCACGTTTACATCCATCTTCCTCACGAGACTGATGAACTGCTTCACACTGCACAGAAAGGGCAACTTAACTTAAGTGTAGCACATGCGTTATTAACACTTTAAAAGCATAACCACACTCTGACAGCCCAAGCTGATCATCCTAAGCGAGAAAACCAGGACTTCTCCGTGATATTTATTCATTTGCCACACATACCTTAGTCCAACTACTTTCAGGAACTGTGTGAAGGTGAGGCTGATGCCATCAAGCTCCATGCCTGCGATGAACAGACAAGCTCCCCACTGATGTCTGTTTGAATATGGCATCTAGCATGGAGGACACACACGTTTGTGTTAGTACACATTCATAAATGGAACTACACTAGATTGGTAGTGCAGATATGAGATGAAGGCGTACATTTGCCTTGTCCATTGACCTGATCTCCCTCTCCCAAATTCTCCACGCATGATCACAGATGGGATTGGTGGCCTGAAGCTCCTCACTCAGAGACACAAACTCAGGCTCCTTGTCCTTGTGTCTAGTAAAACAACACAGTTGACAGACATGAGTAAACACATTGTGAGGTGACTGACACTATTGTGGGGTGGTCGCCATACTGGCGCTGCTGGTCATGCAACATTGGTTATACACATAAACGCTTGTCAGCTGTTTAGGCACTACATGAGCCATATATGATCACTTTCCCTTTTGTATATTTTAATGAGTAAAGGTCAAAATAAGTATGTTTCATTTTTACATAAACATATCTATTACACTGAAAGACGATGGAACATTATTTCACCCATATTTCGACATTTTATTTTCACGTTATTTAAAACATTAAAGTTGATACTTGACTTGCATTTCTTATTATTTTTATGTATATAAAATCACTTTTGTCAATTTAATTTGATGCAGACCCCAAAATGGGATGTCTCCTCTTTGACCCTATAGATATATAGATGTACACATAACTGCTGAATTAAAAACGGTACGCAATATTTACTTGACATTCCTTTTAAAAGTGAAAACAGAAATTGTGCATCCCAAAAGGCAAAATATAAGCTGATAACTGCTACTGTACCATATAGTGGTTAAATATTGGGTGCGTCCTACTTATCATGTTCTTACCAAAGTAACTAAACTATTAAAAACTATTTGTTATAAAAAAAATAGCAGCACAAACAGGTTTAGAAATCGTCATTTGTAACGGTTACTTAGTTAATACAATTAAAAAAAAAAAAATAATAATTTCTTAAGAAGACTGACATACTGTCGGTCGCTGGCTTCCTCTCCCAACATCATCAATAACTAAAGACTGTCTGTACTAATCATTCATTAGAGTCTATTGTGTCATAGAGGTTTATTTAGACAGTCCCGCAGTACGACCTCACCGTTCGGGGCTCAGCACTGCGTTCTCGCTGCTGTCGGGAGATCCGCTCTTCATGTTTCCCTTCAACTCTTTCTTCTGCGGGGTCCCGCTGCTGCGCTTCTTCGGCGGCATGTCGACTGAGACGCGTTCACTCACAGCACAGCGAGCGATCACGAGCGGCGGGTTCGTGTTGATGTTGTTGTTGTGGTTAGTGGTTGGATGTCGGAGCCCGAGACCGCTTGTTTGTGTCCGCAACTCTCTACTATTTCCTCTACTATCCAAAACGCGGGAAAATTGATCGACGCAACATCCGCCACTCTCGCGTCATATCCGGTTCTTGCGCATAGTCTGTCTACTACACTACAGGAACTTTTTTTAAAGATACATTAAATGTTACAGTGATTTTAAAACTGTTTTTTTAGTATGAACAGTGTATTCAGATTAGTGGATGGTAGAAGTTTTAAATGCAAGTGAAACATTAACCTGAAATGTTTCAAAGACTTTCTACTCAATTCTATGCTCTTCCATTCAAAACTTGGCATAGGGTAGTGAAGCTCTATTTGTAGTGATCTCGAAACACGTTTATCTGTAAATGTAATATGCATTTATAACCATTTAGATTAATATTGAATTTTTGGGGAATGGAGTGCCTAAAATTAACAAAGCATTTTCGGTCAAATAGCACAATGAAAATTCAGTTCAAATAGAAATGCTCCTCACATGTGTCTGAAACGTGTTTAAATGGCAGGGTTTCCGCGGGGTCTTAAAAAGTCTTAAATTTAGTTGTATCAAATTTAAGGCCTTAAAAAGTCTTAAATTGTACAAGAAAGTCTTAATTATGATTTCAAGAGATCTTACATTTGGGGAGGGAAAGACCGGAATTGCAATATGGCTGAATGTGAAGATTAAACTTCAATCAAAAGGCTAACATTATGATTTCATTGAATAAACACAAGCGCTGCACGTTAAAAGTCCCTTGCTGCACTGCTTTGTGTTCAGCTGTTACCGGGGAAACAGTTATATATATATATATATATATATATATATATATATATATATCTAGTTAAAATAATAGTGGAGAACGTCAAAACATACAGAACATAAAATAAGACGATAAGACTTTCTTTATGGAATAATACATTCTCTCGATCACATTGAGTGATTATCCCTTATATAAATGCACTGAAATGTAAATGAGTAGATGATAGCAGCATGACATGGTATAGGAGTAAGTTTACACATGTAATTTTTTAGGAAACATTATGTGCAACATATATTTGTATGTCTATTTTGTTTATTCCCTCTCATTTACAGAGTAAGCTTATTGTTTTATCGCATTATTCATAGCCATAACACATTATAATAGTTTATTATATATAGCCTACATATATTTCTAGCAATATAATAAATTTTTTTTTTTTTTTTTTTTTACATATTAAATATTGATATAATATTGGTCATACTTTTTCCCTCATATAAAAAAAAAATGTTTGACTCCGTTTGTCCAAACAGCACCGACTGCATGCCAAAACAGCTTGAATGAACCATTTTTCTACAAGATATAAATATGTATATCCAGACTAGTGTTTTATTCCATCTGGGAACCTTTCTTTTGTTTCTCCATAGGTTTATTTATAACTGCAGTTCACCCCATGAATTGTGCGTTATTCATTAAAGAATGACTTGAAAATATAACCACCATTTAAAAAGAAATACCAAGGTGCTATAAACAGGAGCAAAGGCACTAACGTGCTTTGTCTGGAGTGAGAGATATAATAAATAAAATTGCCTATATCAAAACCCTGCTCAGATACCAAGACCATCACACAGTCTTGGCAAAGAAACCATCATGAATATGCCAGATATTTAACTCGGGGAGTGAGTTAAATATCCAATCAGTCCAAATGTATGTATATTATGCAATAATACAGAAAATAAACCTATGCACTGAATAATGCGTCATAAAAAAATTCCAATTGCAGTCAGACAATATTTGGCAATGGCACACACATCTCCAGATCTCATCACGGTTTTTCTTATATAGAAAGGATACTCATATTGTGCCAATAAATGTGTCATTGATACATGGAAACAAGTCAAAGCTTGCAGGTACAGACCCATGAGACAGACATTCTTTGATCCAATGGCAAACACAGACTTACGGTGCTTGTAACAATATCCTGAAGGAAAATGAAAACCCTTGTCCAGCATTATCTTCTGAAACTCCAGAAAATTACCTTAACAATGACTTATGACTTTGGGTTGAGAGGTTACTTCAGGCTTTAGGAAGCAATGTTGTAAAAATACAGTATATGAAAGGGAGTATGTGAGAGAGAAAGAAAATTAAAAAAAGAGGAGAGAACAACCTGTTATAATTCCCAGGGAGAGCAAATCTTAAAGTCCAGTTTTTTTGGGGGGGACAGGGCCCTTTAAACTGCCTGCTCACAGGAGCATGGTGAACGGTTTCTCCAGGAACTTGCGGAACTCGGCCAGCCACTGTGCACCGACAGCACCATCTACCACCCGGTGATCACAGCTCAGGGTCACCGACATCATGCTAGCCACGTCAAACCTACGAGAGACACAGAAAACACATGCACTGACTGAAGGAACTGTTTTAAGAGCGCCATATACATTAGTAGGACTGATGGCAAATTAATGTCTACCTATTTCCCTTGCTCACCCTTTTTCATTGTCTGCAGGCAGCAGTCTCTTTTCTGAGCCACCCACAGCCAGAATGCAGGCTTGAGGAGGGTTAATGATAGCTGAAAAATGCTTGATGCCATACATGCCCAGATTGGAAATAGTGAAGGTGCCACCCTAGGAAAACCAAGAATGTTCGCTTTGAAAAAAACAAGTAATGCATTTTTATATACACGATACATTATTTTATCTATCTACACATATATTGTTTATTATATTAGTCTGGGGTCAGAAAGACTTAAAAAAAACAACAATTTATTCAGCAAGGATGCATTAAATTGATCAAAAGTGACAGTAAAGACATTTAATATGTTAAAAAAAATTATATTTCAAATAACTACTATTTTTTTAAACTTTACATTCATTAAAGAATCCTGAATAAAAGTATCACGGTTTGCACAAAAATATTAAGCAGCACAACCATTTTAAAATTTGATAATAAAAAAATATATACAGTGGGTACGGAAAGTATTCAGACCCCCTTAAATTTTTCACTCTTTGTTATATTGCAGCCATTTGCTAAAATCATTTAAGTTAATTTTTTTTCCTCATTAATGTACACACAGCACCCCATATTGACAGAAAAACACAGAATTGTTGACATTTTTGCAGATATATTAAAAAAGAAAAACTGAAATATAACATGGTCCTAAGTATTCAGACCCTCTGCTCAGTATTTAGTAGAAGCACCCATTTGATCTAATACAGCCATGAGTCTTTTTGGGAAAGACGCAACAAGTTTTTCACACCTGGATTTGGCGATCCTCTGCCATTCCTCCTTGCAGATCCTCTCCAGTTCTGTCAGGTTGGATGGTAAACGTTGGTGGACAGCCATTTTTAGGTCTCTCCAGAGATGCTCAATTGGGTTTAAGTCAGGGCTCTGGCCGGGCCATTCAAGAACAGTCACAGAGTCGTTGTGAAGCCACTCCTTCGTTATTTTAGCTGTGTGCTTAGGGTCATTGTCTTGTTGGAAGGTAAACCTTAGTTCCAGTCTGAGGTCCTGAGCACTCTGGAGAAGGTTTTAGTCCAGGATATCCCTGTACTTGGCCGCATTCATCTTTCCCTCGATTGCAACCAGTCGTCCTGTCCCTGCAGCTGAAAAACACCCCCACAGCATGATGCTGCCACCACCATGCTTCACTGTTGGGACTGTATTGGACAGGTGCCTGGTTTTCTCCACACATACCACTTAGAATTAAGGCCAAAAAGTTCATGGCTGTATTAGATCAAAAGGGTGCTTCTACTAAATACTGAGCATTTTTCAGTTTTTCTTTTTTAATAAATCTGCAAAGATGTCAACAATTCTGTGTTTTTCTGTCAATATGGGGTGCTGTGTGTACATTAATGAGGAAAACTTAAATGATTTTAGCAAATGGCTGCAATATAACAAAGAGTGAAAAATTTAAGGGGGTCTGAATACTTTCCGTACCCACTGTATATATTTCTGGCTGCTGAAAATGACATTTTAAAATTAATTTGAAATAGAAAACATATAACATAATATATTATATTTCACAATATTACTGTATGTTTGATAGAATAAATGCAGCCTTGGTGAGTATAAGAGACCTCTTTCAAAAACACACACAAATGTATATGCATAAACTATATATACACACACACACATAGTATATATTAACATACATAAATATACATACAAACTATATTTGATTTATTCTTCTTTTTTTCTGATTTTTCACAAAAAAATTTATTATTTTGTTTATTTTATTAAATGTTAACATTTTATAGAAGATGCAGGTTATTGCAAAACAACACAGCATAAATGAATTATTTCTGATATCCACATGGACTCACCTGGAATTCATGTGGTTGTAGTTTACCCTCTCGTGCTTTAGCAGCTAATATGGCTACGTCTTTGCTGATAGTCGCAAGTCCCTTAATATGAGCATTAAATACAATGGGAGTGATTAGACCTATAGGCGTACTGACTGCCACATTAACATCCACCACATGATTTCTGTGCAGAGAGAAAAAAAAAAGTACTTGATTTTACTGTAATTTCAAAGTCACATCAGTTACTATACATTTACTGATAATTGCCCTCAAATGGTTAAGAGAAGAATTGCATTGTGGAAGTCCACTCACTGTCTGATGACTGTATCCATCCAGGAGGAGTTGGCCTCTGGCACCTTTAAACAGGCCAGAGATGAGGCCTTGATGATGAAGTCATTGACCGAGAGTTTGATGTTATCAGCTTTCACCTCCTGATCATGAGGAAAAGGTAGAGTTTAAATTAGGAATACTGTAATGGGGTGTTCACTATCATATCACGGTCATGTGACCTGAGTTCACTCACAGCATTGAGTTCTTTCCTGAGTTCAAGGACTTGGTCCATGTTGACATCGATAGACAAATAATAGTGAGGAATAGTTTGTTTCGATTGCATCAACCTCTGGGCGATCACCTAGATAGCACACCAGTAGAGAGAGAAGCAGGGACACAGAGTATTATGGGTAACATAAAAGTCTTCACATATGCATAGAGAATATAAAGTGGTTTCTATGGTCAGCGGACTCACTCTGCGGATGTTGCTGATGGGGATGTCAGTGAAGGTTCCTGTAGGTACAGCAGCAAAAGCAGGGACGGCTGGAGGACTGGGTGTGGGTGCAGCAGGGGTAGGAGCAGCAGCTGGTGCCTGGCGGTATTAAACAGAACGTTTCATGAAAGAATGAACATAAAATATGAAAAAGAAAAGAAGAACATAAAAGAATGACACTTACATTGCATTTTTACTACTGTAAATAGTACAATACACCTGTTATGCATTTTCTGCTCCTAATAACTAAGAAATCTATGGAGTTGCATTTTCTAAACTGATTTGGGGGGAATTGGTCCAACCCGGTACTAGCAAGGTGTACCTAATAAAGTGGCCAGTGAGTGTATATATATATATACACATACATAAATTAAAAGAAAATGGATTTTAAATAAAATTGACAATATACTTCATAAAAGAACATGCCAGGGGTGAGAGGCAGTGCTATTTTAGTATTAATTATATACTACTAGGGCTGGGTATCGACAAAAATTTCACGATTTGATTTCGATTCACAAGCTTGCACATTGATTAAATTCTGATTCAATTCAATATTGATTATTTTGGATATATATCAGGTACAGTACTCAAGGAAAAAAAACTCAGCTAATGCTGTAAAATATACATTATAGAGTCAGTTGGTACTACATTACTATAATATTGAAGGATAAAATGAACTGATTTGTATACAAACACTTAAATTACACTCAATTAAGTTTTTATAATAATAAAGTTATACTAACTTTACAATTACATAATTATCTTTCTACTCCAATTTGTTTTTTGAAATATAAACATTTAAATAGTGGCTGTTATTAAAACTGGACGGATTTATTCAAACATTATTAAAGGACAGTAAAAAATGATAATGAATATGTTATATGGTTCATACATTTAGCAAAATGCTCCTCTGTAGAGTTATTTTTTCTAGCTGACTAACGAGTTTATGGTCACCGAATATGTTTTTTCAGAGGTAAATAAGACGTTACGTGACAAGCTGTTATACTAACGTCTTTTCGTGTCTTCTCCTCTGAATGAGCGATTACATGAGACAGGATACGGGTTTCAGTAAGTTGTACTCTTTCTTTTAACCTTTGGATGTTCGTTCATGTTTATTTCATACTGTAGCTGGTATTACAGTGGAGGAAATGATTAGTTGACCTGCACTTTGCGCTGCCGCTTCTCTTGAACTCAGGCGCTACAACCACCCATCACCCCACATTCAACAGCGTCAAAATGGTTTTAATTGTTTGAATATTGTAATAAAATGGACAGAATTTAAAATCTGAGACTTTGTTTCATATCAAAAGTAACAAAGCATATTGTGATTTCATTTATTGGATGGGAGGCGCGCTACAATGTTCCGTTCACTAACTGAAAACAGGCTAGACTAATCGATTCTTGGGATTTAAGAATCAATATTGTTTCATAAAAATGAGAATTAAAATCTAAACAAATCTGTATTTTTTAGCCAGCCTTATATACCTCTGTATTTTTATAAATATTTTGAATTAGCTTTATTTAAATTAACCAATTTTTTTATTAGCTTGATTTCAATTGACCATTTTTTTAAATAAAAATTATGATAATAACCCTGGTTGTCAAGAACTTCGGAATGGTGGGAATTCTGTGGACATTTGTGCAGTATTATCTCACATATTCCATCTGGACTTTCTCAAAAGCCATCTACATTTCCAATCCATTATTGGAAAGGTCAAAACCAGGTTTGGTGGATCTGGTCGCTTCAAAATGTAATGACTTACAGGAGTGGGCTTAAGTGGAACGAAACTGTCGATATCTTTCCTGGTGACTCTGCCATCTGGTCCAGTTCCTATAGACACAGCAGTAGCATATTCCCACTTCAGACAGAGTCACATATAAATCACCCGGAAATGATACAAGTAAAATGATAAAGTTACTCACACTAATGCCACTAGTGACAGAAAGACATCTATCATGCAAAGGAAACGAACTGATAGTATTAAAAGTCAAAGCGCTCGTACCTGTGACTTGGGTGATGTCAATTCCCTTCTCAGCAGCCAGTTTCTTGGCTAGAGGACTGGCAAACACCCTACCCTTCCTAGGAGCTGCAGGGGCGGCTGGAACAGTGGGAGCTGCTGGAGCTGGTGCTGGCGGTGGGGCAGCCACCTGAGAAGTGAGGTACAATAAGTATACGTATTATATACGTAATGCACATATTACATATTTTTTGGTTAAGTTAAATATTCAAAATTCTGGATTACTAAAACATAGATTAGAACATGCTATGTTTATAAAATTGCTGTAGCCGTGGCCTGTGTATACCACAACGGACAGCAATTTGTTGTAGTCTAATCTTAACATCCACTCCCACAAAACTGGCATGGCCTGATCTCAGTATTTCAAAACACTGCAAATATTTCAAAGTGACCTTTCACTTTTAGTCATAGCATGAAACTGTTGATAATACATTGGCAGTAAAAACATGACCTTGATTTTCATCACAGCCTTCTTTAGGTGGCCACATAAAAAGTTTATTACATCACATTATGACATGTTGCTCATGTCAATCAAAGTGCTGTTGCAACTGAAAGTGGACAGTAAATGACTAATGTTAATGTTTACTGATGGTAAAAATTCCAATTCTTTTAAACAATAGCATTAGGTGTGCATAATTAATCATAGTAATAATTACATTAAACAATAGATACAAATAAATAATAGAGGTCTTTTAGAAATGACAGAGCACTTTACCGGTGTGGGAGCAGGAGGCGGGCTTGCAGCAACCCCTGTCTCTACATAGTCAGCAAACGTGCTAATGTCGGATTCCTTTTCCACAATGATGCAGAGAGGAGTGCCGAGGGGAACATCCCTGGTGCCCTCAGCAATCAATATCTTGGCCAGGTAACCCTCTTCCTGTACCTCAAAACCTGAAAATCACAGGAAGAAACGACTTTACATAGTGTTGTTAATGCAAACTGTAGACATACTACATTTCTTTAAATCTGGTTTATGAATATACATTTGTTTGTGTATGAATGTTTATTGTATTCATATATAAATAGACACTACCATTCAAAAGTTTGGGGTCAGCAAGTTTTTAAAGCAATTAATACTTGGTGACAGTAAAGACATTTATAATGTTACACCAGATTTTTATTTCAAATAAATGCCGTCCTTTTGAATTTTTTACTTATCAAAAAATACTGAAAAAATGTATCATGCTTTCTACAATATATACAATATTAAGCAGCACAACTGCTTTCAACATTAATAATAATAAACGTTTCTTGAGCTGAATCGACCACATTTTAAAACGATATATCGAAAAATCGATTTTTTTTTTGCCCAGCCCTATTTGCCATCATAGAAATATATTTCATTTTAAACTGTAATAATATTTCAGAGTATTACAGTATTTTTGATCAAATAACCTTTGAACTGTAGTTTATAAATAATACTGTAACCACCACTGAGTGCAACCAATGACCAATTACCAATTCTTAAACTATTAAATCTGCCAAACAGATTTTACAGTCTTGCTATGAACTTATAAAAATCACCATGTCTATAATTAGAGACAATTTACCGATTGTTGCCTTATCCGTCTCAATTTCAGCCAGCAGGTCTCCCTCACTCAGCTTCTCACCCACCTTCTTCTCCCAGCGCTGCACGGTGCCCATAGTCATGGTGGGGGAGAGAGCTGGGAGAAGAACCTAAAGAAAGCAAAACGGAAGTTAATGATAGCATGTAATAATAAGCTTGCTTATGCTTAGACTGGCCCAATATCACCAAATGTTTTTACTTCTGAATTAGTAATTCAGTTTGTAGTCATTTTCATATTTGGTCAACATCTCATACCTTCATGTGAGGTGGGTAGGAGCTTCCAGGAACTTGTGGTGGTGCAGGAGCAGCAGCAGGTGCTGCTGGAGGGGGATGGGCAGCTGCAGCAGCAGGGGCAGAGCTGGCGATTTTATCCAATGTTAAGTCCTTAAATGCAGGGATGAGGTCAGGACTAAAAGGTCAAAGGATAGATGATGTATATTAGGTGGAAAACACAAGAAAACATCAGACATACATTCTATATCACATACGGATATCAAAAATGCAAGTTTGTGCTTTCATAAAAAGCCAAGATCAAGACAGAATCATTTAGGTACATCACTAAGCCCTTTTTTATGATGCATGTATGTTTCTCTGTGGTACCACAAAATTGATAGGAATGTTTCCTCATCACAAGTATAAAAACTTAATTTATTTCACAATCATTTTACATTGTTAAGGACATTATGCAATATGTATACCACATACAGCAGATCTTATAATGCTCTGTATCTTGGCACTGCAGATAAAAAATTATGCTTACTTGTCAACTGTAATACAAATGACAGCTCCAATGGGCACATCTCTTGTACCCTGAGGGACCAAGATCTTGGCAAGGTAGCACTCCTCCAGCATTTCAAATCCAACCGTAGCCTTGTCTGTTTCAACCTGACCAAATCAAAACCAGTAAGTAGAATTCAGAATTCTAACATGCTGGGCGCTTGATTCTGATTGGTTGACAGATGTTCTAAGGTGCTGTGCTCTATGCCACGGACTCATTACCACCTCAGATGTGCATTAATATTCAAAAATTCAACAGCCATCATCAATTATTACTTACTTAATTTTGTCATCAATATTAAACTATCAAGTGTAATTTTAAACTCTGAATACTGATGTAGCGGACTGTGGCTTTGTCTTGTGGATAAAAACCTGAATGTGCCTCACCTCAGCAATCAAATCTCCCTCATTGATTTTGTCACCTTCCTTCTTTTCCCAGCGTGCAATAGTGCCCATCTGCATAGTGGGGGACAAAGCTGGTAGTTCCACCTGTAATAGAATGAATTAGGATAAATAAACAGAAAGTTGTGAGCATTTACCATGAATGACTTTAAATTCTTCTCATAGAAGGTAATACATTACCAGTCAAAAAATTTGGAATAAATAAAGAATTAGGTTGACTTCTGATTAGGTTGATCATGTAACACTAAATGGCTGTTGAAAATTCAGGAATAAATTCACAGGAATCACAGGAATAAATTCCATTTGAAAATATATTAATTTTAAATTGTAATATTTTTGTACAATATTACAGTTTTTTTTTTTTTTACTGCATTTTTGATTTAATAAAGGCATTATTCCAAACTTTTTTGTAGTGTACATGATCTGCATTGAAATATAGTTCAACAGTTCTGTTTACTGTGACATAAGATTGTGATATTCAGGATTCCCACATCTTCCAAACAATAAATTTCAATGACTTCTGTCCACCTTTTTTTGAATAAGGATTTTTAATTATAGAGACTGGACTCACAAATTACAATTTCCAGCTGATAAAATGGTTAAGAACGGAGTATTTTTGTATAATCACTATGGAAATGTGCACTTCATTATTTCTTATGTCTTTTCTAAGCATGTAAATCTATGACAGATTTGAGGCTCAATAATTAAATTATTAAGTATTATGAGAAACTGTTATGCTGTCTCATGAGATAACATGTTCTATACAGGCATGTCAACAAGGATCTCTGACAGCACACAGAATATATATATATATATATATATATATATATATATATATATTCCCCACTGTATATATATATATATATAACTACAGCTCTGCTTTAACATCTTGAAGGTGACACCAATAGAAGAAACGCAGTGATACTCAGTTCACCCCCAAATTTTTAAATAACTTTTATTCTCCCTCATGTTTTCCAAATCGGTATGAAATAATTTACTCTGGAGCACAAAAAGAGAAGACAGATGGTACAATGAAAGTGAACGATGACCGAGGCTGTCAGTCTCCAACAAGCCCTTTTGTGTTCCATTGAAAAAAGCAAGTCAAACGGGGGTGGAAGCACATAATAACATTAGTTAGCTTAACTTACCTTCTGATGTGGAGGCAGACTGTACACTCGCATGCTTTGACTGAAACTAGCCATTTGGCTTCGCAAGACCCATGATCTGTTACTGAGGATGCTGTTGTACACTCGCCGACCATGACACAAGCTCCGGATCCTGGCCGGGCCGTTGGAGTGGTATCGTTTGAGATGATGGCATGATACCGGTCCTGATCGTGGACTACCAGCAGCAGCAGCAGGGCCTGAGAGAACACTGGGCCGGGTAAACCTGGCAGATGGGCGCACTCGCAGCGCTAAACGCAACATTTTGAACGTGATGACCACTGTAAACTACGCTGGATTTGAGTAAAGCCACTCTGGTATCAGAATATCTGACACCTGTACTAGAAGTGGCGGTCTGTTCGCCCCAAAACGTACCGAACAACCTCACTTTCTAATGACCTCCCCACTCCAAAACATCCCACTTTACGACAGTCTCCTTCGTTTCGTCCTCCGGGTGACGCATCAGGGTTGCCAGATATGTTTTTGTATGATTTACAAACCCCCCTTTTAAAATTTCGCATAACTGAGAGAATTTCTATCGCATATTATAAGTATAAATACGACGTGCTTAACACTGACATCCTTCATTTCAGCTCAGGAGATCATGAGATTATGAAATTTATTGGTTATATTCTGAAGGACTGGGAGAGTATAATTGTAAATACATGGCAACCTTCAAGTTGTCAAAGCCGGTGTAAACCGTCAAGCAACTAAGCAAGCGCTGACGTAAAAGTGCCGTCAAGTAAAAGTTTAACTATCCACAAATCTGGATCACTTCGCATTCTTCCATTGCTAATGCATTGAGACTCACTCAAATAAATATTTCTAAGGTATGATCCTCTTCTACACTACATAAATAAAACGTACTCTCCATCGTGTCTACTCTCCACCCCATATGATTTTATCTTTTACAGATCACAAAAGGATATGTAAAGCAAAATGACAGCCTCAGGCACAATTCTTTTATTGTATGGCAAAAATACATTGAAAGTCAATACTGATTGAGGATGTCAGTCCATACCATTCTGTTTAACATTTTCATTTGTGTTCATGACAGGTTTTGCTGCATTTTATTGAGGTGTTTTTTTTTTCAAGTATTAATTCATATACTGATAACAAGGTATATTTGATAAGAGAACATGCATTTCCTTAGAACAGCATTTATTGTAATGCATTTTTCAGCAAAATAGAAAAATAGAGAATACAATATATGTAAGGAAAACCATGTAGCATTATTTTGCGCTGGAACTGCATTGGTCTTTTGGCTGTCTATTTGACGATTTTAGCGAGGGCTGCTGCTCGTCTCTCTGTGTTCTTGAACAGGGCTCGAATAAGGCTCTTCATCTCATTACAGGAGAACTCCACTGCCAGGGGTCCTTTTCCTTCTGCCCACCTAAATTAAAAGAAAAGAATGTTTAATGTGAGCTCCAATTAAATCTATAAACTACATACATAATCCCATAGGATCCCATAAAATGAACCTTATTAAAATATTAAGTGTATCACCGGTCCACTATCTCCTGTAGATTAGCATTTAGCACCATGGAGATCTCTTTTAAGGTCATCCATTTCTTTGCATAGACTGGAACCTCTTCTTGATATTTTTTGTTCTTGTTTTCTTCCGGCAATGGATTGAACACCAGTGGCCCTTCCTCTATGATGGTTTGACACAGTGTTCGCAGTCGCTCACCATCCATATTGGAGATGTCCTGGAATGAGAGCACTTGGTTTACACTTCAAAATGTTTGGTGGTGTCACCAAAAACAACAACAGCAGTATGTATTATTGCCTTACCTCCAACATCATAATTTTGTTAATCAGCTCTGATATTGCAGTATTGAGGAGAGTCCCAATGGATTTGCAGTATATGTTCACAGGCAAGACATCTTGCCAAACTTTTCCCAACCTCCTCAGCTGATGAATGACCTAAAATACACAATAGCAGTTAAACCGCAGTGACAAGCACACTAGGCGCAAATATGCTTATATACTGGTATCTAAATATAAGCCTCTACTGTTTCAAAGATAGTGAATTTGTGGTGTTTGATCATACTTGTCTGATAGCCTTGCTGGCTACAGAGTAACTGTCTTCATCATCCAAGTTGGAAAAGTTGCGTGCAGTGGACAGCCTTTCCAACATCTCAGCTTTTTGAACGTTCATTTGTGCCACAAAGCACCGAGCACCTTATTTAAAAACAGAGGGAAAAAACCTTAAAATAAGCATCTCATCATTAAATTTGCTATGTACACTACTGTTCAAAAGGTTGGGATTGGTAAGATTTTTTAAAAGTCTCTTTTGCTCACCAAGACTGCATTTACTTGATCAAAATACAGTAAAAACAATAATATTGTAAAGTATTATTACAATTTAAAATAACTTTTCTATTTGAATATATTTTCAAATGTAATTTATTCCTTTGACGGCAAAGCCAAATTTTCAGCAGCCATTACTAGAGTCTTCAGTGTCACATAATCCTTCAGAAATCATTCTAAAATACCGTTAGGTGTTGAAGAATTATTTGTTATTATTATCAATGTTGAAAATAGTTTTTCTGCTTAACATTGTTGATAACCTTTTTTTTTGATGAATAAAAAAAAAGTTCAAAAGAACAACATTTATTTGAACTTGTCTTTACTGTTACTTTGAATTTTTATTTTGAATTGAACTATACTGAATTGTAGTGCTGAATAAAAGTATTAATTTCTTTAAAGAAAAATCTTACTGACCAATTTGAACAGTAACAAAAAATATGTCTGTGTGCCCTTACCTAGTCTTCTGAAGCCTGGGACCAAGTCTACAAAATAAGCCACTCCATCTTTCAAAGGAAGGTGAGGTTTAAACTGGAAACCCAAGGTTAAAAGGTGGTGAGCGATGAACATGCAGTTATTGTGTTGGATTGCAGCCAAGTGAGGCAACTTCAGGAAGTTGTCCCTAAGTTATGAAAACACAATCACATAAAAAAAAAAAACTACACCAACAGTATACCAAGAATACTGCTACTTAAAAAAAAAAAAAGACATCAACTTACTTGTGATATGTAGGCACAACATCATAGAAAAGGTGAAAAATGTTTCGGACTGTGTAGAAAAGCTGGACTGCACTGCAAGAAAAAGTTTTATGAAGTTCAGCAATTACAGCTTCCACATGGACCTAAAAACATATCTGCTTAATTGTAGTGTCTGTAATGCATGCTACTTACCACTGGGGGGAGCTGCCCACCGCCTCAGACAGAGTTTGTATGGCAAGGTCCATTAGCTGCTGCACTGACTCACTAATGCGACACACGGGTAGACACATAGTGTTGGGACTCAACTGCTTCTCGTTTTCCAGGCTCTGCTGATCGTAATGGGCACTTTTCTTACAAGACTCCTTCCTCTCCTTCTCTCCCCCACTGGGACTTGGTAGTTTAGGGATAGAGAGTTTATACTCTGGAGTGATCTGGGGGCGAAAAGCATACAGAAGCCTGTAACTAAAAATCTTTTATAGCTTAATTAACATTAGAAACTTTGAAAAGGTCTTACTTTCACTGTGTTGTGCATCTCAGACGCCATTAGTTTCCGTGCAGCCACAATGACATCTTGGCATTTTTTGCTTGCGAAGTGGCAGTTGACATTCCTGGCGTATTTTAAGAGGTCCGTCGAGTCCCCTGCGAGGTACCCCATCTCTTTCAGACTGCTCTCGAAATCTTCTGTCCGTTTAATGACCTGAGAATACAATTGAATATTGCATTACAAAGAATGCTGCACAGTTGTCATATGCTGACAGATACTTCTATGGCCCTGCAGTCTTACCTCGCTATACTCAGCTAGTTGACTACTGTTAGCCGGTATGGAATGAACCAGGCATTCACGAATTATGCATTCAGACATCTCCTTCCATATCAGGTCTCCTAAAATCTCAGACATTTTCTTTTCATCTATAGACACATCTGAAAAAAAACACACAAAAAAACGCACACACCATCATCAGAATACTTCAACCTTTTCCAAGACTGCTTGTTGGATACAATGACATACTAGGGACCCCATTATATATTGTATAAAATTGAGTTTTGCATTTTATGCCTGATCTATAATAACATGCATATAGTACCATAACACATAAAGGGTTAGTTAACTACACGGAACGAAACAAACATGGAAGCTTGTGCATGCTAGAACACACCTAATTGGTTCAAGTGTTGCGTGAGGTTTACCATGTTATTTCTCTATATATGTGTGTTTGCATGCGAATAAAAGCCTAAATGAAATCTGGTTATCATATAAAGCAATAATATCTCTTCACAAGGCTTGGATTAAACGGTTCAAATCAACACCTTTATTACTTTTTTCTTCTAAGTTTTGGTTACGTTGACTTTTAACGGAGGAACAGGAACATCTCAAGTTTCATTAAAATATTTTTTTTTGTTTTCAAAGATAAAGATTAGTCTTAGTTAAAATTAGTCTGGAAAGACATGAGTGTTAGTAATTACTGACAGAATTTTCATTTTGGGGTGAATCATTCCTTTAAAGTTATATAATGTATTAAAGGTGCAATAGGTGATTGTCTTCAGAAACATTTTTTGTTATGTTGGTTGAAAGTCTCTTCACATCTCCATAGCAATCATTAAGTTAAGTGGTCTAAATGTATTTATCTGTATTTATATATTCTGTGGAAGGCGTAGGACCAAGAAATGTTCGTCCAATCTAAATGCTCGGTCCGAGCGTTTTAATTGACTTTCCTACCTGCCTGTCAACGCATGTATCTGCATACCTCTGCGCACACGGTTCACACAGACAGGATACGTCATCAGCCCATTCACGCACGCTGTGCAGACAGAGCGAGAATGGTAGACAAACATCAACAACCCGATCTTCCTTCCTGGTATTGTAGTACTTTTAAAGTTTTCTCACCGGTGAATGACACATGATGTAGCCCAGCGGTTCCCTATTCCAGTCCTCGCGCCCCACTCTGCATATTTTGCATGTCTCTCTTAGTTAACACACCCGATTCAGATAACCAGCTCGTTAGAAGAGAGCTACGTGCATGAACTGTGTTCCGATC